ATATTAATAATAGTTTCTGGGTTTTCAACAAGGTAATAGACATTTAAATGTGCAAAAAACTTTTAAAAAAGGTCATAAAACATGTCTGGAGTGGATCTTTAATCGTACACTGACCTCTTGTGACCTGGGGGATGAAGCCTTTTTGGCCTTCGAACAGAATATAAAATGGCTTCCAGTAATCGTACAGTAGCATCATTTAGACATAGTCTGTCTAATGATCATTTCCCATTATTGATCTGTCGGTAGTCTTTTTCAATAAATGAGTGGTCACTGTCAGTATGTTGATAAAAAATGAATGTAAAATGTCACAAGACAACACGTCACAACTTCCCTGATCTCAATGTGGGTTTTTTATACCTTTGTTCTACCAGCCTGTTATTTACCAGCAAACCAGCAAATGTGTGCCTGAGAGAGCTTGAGATTAATTGAATATCTATTATTTTTAGGTCCAAATATGTTTTTCCAATGCCAGCACATATCAAGATATGTATATTATGTATATAGATGTTTGCTTTACATCTGAAAGAAGCTTGAAACCAAACAAATAACATCAGATTTTGTGAACTTTTGATTGAAACTTGCCTTCATTTTGAATTTAAAGAATTTTATAATTCAATAACATGATATAATACTATAGATATCAACTCTAAATTATCACCCAGGCACATAATAAAACACACTTGATACTGTATGACGCTCTAATAGTCACTGATATTAACAGACTGTCCAGTAAATATAACCTGTTGCTATCAGTGTAACACACTCTCATTCACATCCTCTACAAAGTGCAATGCAGTGAATTATTCCTTCATCTGCTTACTTGATCCAAATATCAAATAATAGCTTCTCTGGCCTCTACGTAAAGTTTATTTTTAGCATAATCCTCTTGTGCTGCTGTGAGTCACAGTTGATACAAAGCATTGCATGCGGCCCTGTTCTGTGTGACTACTGTGCATGTAGAGTTCAGAAACTCAGCTGCGATGTTCCTGTTTTAAAAGGATTTCTCAGAAAAGAGCAAGAATACAGAAGTGAAAATGGGCTCGCTAGACAAGCATGACGCATTTGCATCATACAGGATTTCTTTGCTTTTCACAGGTTGTTTTCAAGGCAAAGTCGAAATATGCACCGGAGCTTTTGAGATACAGGTAAGATCAGTTTTCACACTTTCACACATTTTCTGTTAATGTAGTAAAAGATATGTGAATTATTGGCAACCTTTGGCGTTAATATGTTTTCCATTTTCACCCACAGGCTGCCGCTCTACCTGCTCTTCCTGTTCATCAGCCTGGTGTTTTTAGTGGTGAATTTAGTGTGTGCCCTGCTGGTGAGGATGTCCTCTGAAGAAGCCCACACCATTGTGCTAGTGAGAGTCGCAATCAACGACACACTCTTTGTCCTGTGTGCCATCTCGCTCTCCCTGTGTCTTTACAAGATCGCCAAGATGTCTCTGGCCAACATTTACCTGGAATCCAAGGTAACACACACTTCCCCTTAAGAGTAATCTCTGAGTAGTTACACCCTCTGGGATCAGAGTGGCTTGGGTTTTTGTTTTATTAAAAGGAATTGTGCGCTGCATATAGCACACCCCTCGTGTGAAGATGCACTTCTCCATGTAATTCATGCTTTGTACATAGCGATTGTTTCCTAGCAACACAGCGTCGTCCTTATGTGTGACTGGTTGTACTGTGTTGCGTTCACAAGTACAGCAGGGTTGGTTTCAACCAGATTATGTCTCATTTCCTCTAAAAGTAGATTTGCCATTTCCTAACGCAACTCTTCAAACTGTGCAGGGGACGTCAGTGTGCCAGGTGACCGTCATAGGAGCCATCGTCATCCTCCTGTACGCATCCAGGGCCTGCTACAATCTGGTCGTACTGGGACTCTCTAACAAGAGTATCAACTCCTTTGACTACGACTGGTACAACGTTTCAGACCAGGTGAACCACCAGAAGTCACGATGCCTTTCAGGAAACAGTTGGACATTTTTGGAAATACCCTTATGTGCCGTTTAGCTGATTGTTAGACGGCACATAAGCACATGAGTGATTGTTAGATGAGAACATTGATAACCGTGCTCTATATGTAAAATACCAAGTTACAGCCAGCAGCTGATTATCTGAGCTTAGCATAAAGACTGGAAATAGTCCACTAATTAACATGTTACATCTCATTTGGTGGCAAGAGGGTTGCATGGAGACTTTAAAGGATCAGTGTGTTGGATTTGGTGTGAAGTGTGTAGTAATGCGTCTTTGTCTACAGCCAATGTTTGGTTTGTGTTTGCTCCTCTTAAGGTAAAGACAAAATGATGCTTATTTTTTAGGTGATTATACACAAATGAAAATATTATATTCCATGTCTGCCACTAGATCCTCCTAAATGTTACACACTGGACCTTTTTACGATGATTTTTTAAATAATTTCTAAATTTTTAGCACTTTTTCAACAATGTGTTTATTACTTTTAGCTAATTATTTAGAGTTCTCTGCTCGCTTACTAACTAGTTTTCATCAATCGTACAATCCTGTTGTTCAGGTAGAGCTGACTCAATTAGTTGATATATAGTCAAGCAATCTTATCACGTCCAAGTACCCCTGGTAGGCAATCACTGGTTGTACATGCTGTATTAATGTTGGCCGGGCATAGCAACTTCCTGCAGTCTTTTTAGGACTAAGGTAAGCTTATTGGCTGCTGGCTGTAGCTTCTTATTTACAGACATGAGATTAATATCAGTATTTTCATTAAGTCTCAGCAAGACAGCGAATGAGTGCATTTCACAAAATGTCCAACTATTCCCTGAAGTATTTTATTCAGCAGTGATTGACTATTGACCAGGTGCATTGTTGTTGAAATAATGAATGAGATAGATTTTTTTCTTTGTTTTTCAGGCGGATTTACAGTCGACTCTGGGCGACGCCGGCTACATCGTCTTTGGAGTGGTCTTGTTTGTATGGGAGCTGCTCCCCACTTCCCTCGTCGTTTTCTTCTTCAGAGTTCGGCAGCCCAACCAAGACAGGGTGAGTCAGCAATTAACCTGGGAGTCAGGAATCTTCCCAGGGGGTTGCGAGATAAATCTGAGGGGTCGGGAGAAGATTTATAGGAAAGCAGATAAAATACTGTAGTTCAGCTACACATAATCTCTCCTTTCTGTCCTGTATTTCTTCAGGCCTTTAAAATGTAGTCTTACTCCTTGCTAAAACTGCTCACAAGTCATAGACAAATACAACGTGGGATGAGGGGTTGCAAGTAGATATTGCTTTATTTTAAGGGGCCATGAGGCAGGTTGGGAAATGAAGTGAAATACAGTCTAAAGTAGTGGTTGACTGATGTGAGTCTTTCATTGGTTGATGCCGATATTTATATGTAATTCCTTTATTCCATGCGCATTACAATCTAATACACATTGTTATTTCAGACAGTAGTGTGTTGTTTTAGATGGGTTTTTATGAATGAACAGCTGCATGCGTGAGAGTTAATAGTACAAAGTGGACCTTAATCTGTCCATCTATAGGTATAAAGGTTTTATGTCGTAAGAAATTCACTCCATCTTATGTTTGTTGTCTTGTTTCTCGTCCTGCAGAGCGTCTCTGGGCTTCCTGGTCACGTCTTCTCCTCCAGGTCTTATTTCTTCGACAACCCGCGGCGTTACGACAGTGACGACGACCTGGCGTGGAGCGTCATGCCTCAGAACATCCAAGCCAGGTAAAAACGCCACGATTTAAAACCACCAAAGCACTGTATGTGAAGCAGGAATGTGGCTAAAGGGAACAGAGTTCAAAACGCTTGTTTTATTTGATTGTCCAGTCTGGCTGCTGACAGCTACGAGTGGGGGAGCCAAAGCAGCGGCATCGGTGCCTACATCGGAGGGGACGACAGTTACCACCTCCCACCTCCTCCAGAGGAGCTCAGCCATTACTGACTGGAGCTCCCAGTGACTCCCGCTGACCTGTGGCATTGTTTTTGTATTTGTATATTTTTTGCACAGTCTCTCGTAGTGACAGAGGCACATGAGGCCGAGAAGTCGCCCTCTACTCGATACATTCAGTTTTCTACTTTGTCTAGAGGAGAAGAACTAACAGACCTTTCTCTCTGCCAGTATATGAAGGTCCACTAATGGGACATTAATTTTGCACACTCCTTGTATAAAGTATGATCTAATTTTAACTGCTCTTAAACTTTTTCATTGTATAGTTTATATTGAATACTGCGTAATATATTTCCTGACTCTTGTAATATGTACTGTATTACTATTTTATGTACTGTCTTTTGTTCTTTTTCATACAGATGTTGTATATAGAAGAGATATTCATTTAATTCATATTAAAAAGGTTAAAATGCTGTGAGAAATGCAGTTCATTTTTTAATATCATACCAATACTTTATTGATAAATCGTGTTGTGTCGTAGAAACGTAGATTTCTAAAAGGATAATTGACTGATCACAGTTCTTTTTCACACTTATTATAATATATAATTTATATATAACCTAACATATCTGGAATACCAGACAAGACAAGAAACAAAAAACAAAAGCTGAACATTATAGTGTATTGAGGTTTAGCTATCTATAGAGCTATAAGTTTGTATTGTTCCAGGCCAGGTAACCTATTCACATAGTTTATTAATGGGTCTCAGTTTTATAAAATCTCTTAATAGAGCCATCAAGGGCGCATCTGATTTATTCCAGCTTGATGGTCTGCATCAGATCTTTAATCCGCTGGTTGTGTGTGATGGAGGGATTACATCTTTCTATTTAAATATTATTGAGCGTGCAGCTACTAGAGAGGGAAAGGCAGTGACCTTCTGCAAGTGAGCAGGGCGAATCAAATCATCTGGAACTGAGAATTCAACCAAAAATAGCAATAGTAGGAGACGGCACAATATTACAGCGTCATGCCTCTGAAATGGTGTCAGAAAAAGGATGGTCACTGGGGTCAGTTTGTATCTGTTACATACCGTATAGGACTTAAATCTGTGTAGCCGATGTTGCACTTTAAACTGCACTGAGGCTTTGAACACAGAGAAGATTAATGATTCCTAAGAAGAGCAATGTCCCATTCTTCATCTGACAACGGTACCCCTACATCATCTTCACGTTGTTCTCTAATGTGAGATATAGATGGATTATCTCTATCCACGATCTCAGAATAAATCATTGAGAGCCTGCCCTTATTTATTCATATTGACCTTTAACGAAGAATCAAGGCGAGATAAAGGGGGGCTAGTTGGATGAATAGTACAAAGTCCCTGATTTGTAGCTAGTGGAACAAGTGAATATTAGTCAGTCAAAGTGTTTACAGTTCTTTTATGTAATATTTGTAAGTCTCTGGAGTGTTCGAGTACAGACTATGATGGTGACTTTTTAGTAAACTGCAGCGCCCTCAACTGTTCTGATTATAAAGAAGACCTTTTTTTTTTTTTACCAAATAAGGTTTTTCTTATGATGTTAGATCTAATAAAACTGTCTCATTCTGAGAACGGGAGAGTGACACAGGAAAATGTATTAATACCATAGCTGACAAGTTAACTGTTCTTTGAATTTGAGGCAGTTTTCAGTGAGTCTTTCCTGCATGAATCATGAAAATAATAGTTTTTTTTATCTTGATATGTTCCCCTTTAGGAGCATGCCACATTGCCTTTCTTGTTTATGTAACAAATACATCTCGAATCCTGAATCACATCACAAATAGGTTACATAAAACTATCTTACATAATCACTCTATAATAAAATGCTTACTGACTGGTAATAATGACTAATGGACATACAGGAAAGCTTCTCTGAACACAACCAGATGAACGGAGCAGCTGAAAAAGATATACTTTCCATTCCAGTGGGGAGCTGGGTGGAAACCATTTGCTTTGCTCCGGTTAGATAGGAAACAAGCACTGGAAGAATAATAAAGCAGTGTTTCACTGAGTTAAACCACTGGTTGAAATTGAGGACAGCTGACACTGTGGTTCAGAGTTGGGACATTAAAAGAACATTTATTAGAATTACAGTGTCGGAACAAACGGATCAGCAGGCTGGACGTGTTTTTGTACTTTCACCCCATTTTATTGACGAGCTGTTTTCAAAGATGGTTGCGTTCTAAAAGCACTTAATACACGATGCAGCAATGGAAACGGACACAAGTTAACACTTTTAAATTTAACAAGTAGCTGATTGTGAATGTACTTGTGAGGCTGAAGTTTAGAGGCGGTCTGTAGGTTTTAAAATGATACACATTAGATTAGTAAGTCATTTTATTAGAGCACTGATTTGTCATCTAATGCAGAAAGTGTAAATATAAAGCTGAGAGACTGAAAACTAACTCTGGTACACAGTGCAGGACATTAAATAACCTCATCACTGAAATATGTAATACTGTAATATTTTGATCACATTATCTGATTTCCTGTCGCTGTAGTTTTCCCAGCAGCAAAGACAACAGTACAGATAATATTGATTGGGTGAAAAAATAAGTTAAATTTGCTGTTGAGTGAAGTATTTCTTAAGTGTAAAGAATTTCTTTTCCATTTTCAGTCCAGAAAATGAGAAAAAAAACTAACAGATGCAATCTGATGTCGACCTGCAGAGGGCAGCACAACACTGCACATAGTGCAAACAGGACCACAGCAGTGTAAGTGTAAGTGTCCTTAAACCACAGGGAGATGTACTGTATGTGTGTTTCTTCTTAAATTCAAATAAGATGTTGTCTTTAGAGAAAGCAGGTGGAACAACATCATAAATGACAGTGAGGGTCAACTGTGCCGCAGATGAATGAATTCAAACTAAGACCAACGGATTTCTGTCAGAAAAATGGTGTTGTTTTTAATTCAGATCATTCCTCGTATTATTGCAAACTCAAGCACATTTTGCCATACAGTAGCTTATAACAGCTGATTCCATGTGAAAAGCATAACACGTTAAGCATATGCAGAACACTGTACCTTTTAAGAAATTAACTGCAAAAACAAAAATATGCAAAAGATGAAGATTCTCTCTGAGCTTAATTCCTGTTTGAATTGATTTTCTGAAAACGTCGGCTGTAACGTAAGCGTTCCACCGAAGAGGTGAAAGGAAAAAATAAAATAAAAAAAATCCACACAATCCCTTTCAGTACAATGTCATGACATTCAAGGTCCGCTGGGTTGCCCAGGTCTGCTGAAAATGAACAGAAATCACTTTGTATTTGTTTGTTTTGTCTCCATAAGCATGGATCATCCACCCACTCAAGCAAAAGTCAGCTGTTTTGCCATGTAAAACACACACACATGCTCTCTATAGGCCACTTTCTTAGGACAGAGCACTTAATGGCTGTTTGGAGGGAGAAGGGGGGGGACGCAGGCTTCCCATTAGCTGGGATCCGATGATTTGCCGAGTTCAACCTTTACTCCTTTTTCTCCTGCACCTGCACACAAAGGAAAGACAAACAAGAGAGATGACGTCAAAGAGCGTAAAAAAAACCCCAAAACACTGAAACAATAGAAACAGGATTGTGGAGTTTTGCACATAAAATCCTACCCGTTAAGTACTTTTCTTTAGCTCTGGCTCGCTCGTCTGCGTCAAAATACCACACCGTGATGGCATACCTGCGGAGAGAATTAGAACAATGAGTCACCGCGAAACAGACCCGGATGATCTGAGCGCGTGCAGCGGAGAGACTCGAATGCCGACCTGGTGGCGAAGGCGGGCTGAACCTCGTGAGGGTTCCTCCTGTCTGACCAGAAGAGCAGCAGACGGTCGAATTTGGGCTCTATGTCGGCAAACTGGGCTTTTCCTTCTGGGAAGATTCGAAGAAGGCCACCGTGTTCCTGGAAGAGCAGAACCAGAAGAAACAACCCCGTCATGTATACAAATCAGGACAAAGCAATAGCAGGAAGGTAAAAAGAGACGGTTGGAGGCCAACACTAAGTGAAGCCTCTGCAGTGATCACGCTTGTGGGTTCGATTCCCGTCCTGTTCATCCACATTAAACATTCAGGGAGAGGGGAAGTCTCTTAAAAACTGCATTTTTTTACACATAATAAAGATTTTTAAAATACACCTCATATGTCAGACTTTTTAAATGATCAAGATAGGACGACAATGTTAAGGAAAAGGGTTGTCCGACTCCAAGGGCTAGGAGGAAAGCTCAGGATCGGAAGCAGCAGCGGGGGGCGGCTTTCCTGTGGAGGGATAGGAAGAATAACTCACAGGAAAACTGCTCTGGCTGGATAAAGGACCTGGAGAGTGAAAAAGCAGATTGCTGTAAGCGTGCCGTTTAAACTCTCACACAGCTGATATGATAGGCCCCTCTCTTCACACGCAAACTAGCAGAAAAGAGTTCACACCCTTTGTTGGAGGAGTAATGCTATTTCCAGTTATACTACTTTGAATGAGGGGGAATGCCGGTGGTGTGACCAAACTAAATAAGGCACAATAGGGTCAAAGAAGACAGGAGAAACACGTGAGCACTGATTCTAACAACTGTTTGCACGATCAGAGTGCCGGGCCTGTAGATGGATTTGAGCGAACACCTTCGGCTGCAGGACGTGACCTTCTGACCTATGGATGGACAATTTAGAGGCACTGAGGCGACGGCAACGACTGGCGCTGACAAAAGCCGACTGTGGCCTCACGTTGCGTTTAGGAACACGCTGCACGGACTACAGCGAACGGCCAAGTAGCGCGTACGTTCTCCGCCTGCGTGAGAGGTGATAACTCTCCATACCAGAAGAGGGCGGTAGTCTGCATTTGTGATTCAAGTTCAAAAAAGAAGAATATGGAAGACAAAGAAAATGTCTGATAAGTTAATCCAATTAGTTGAAGTTGAAAAATGAAACCATCCTTTTTTTGGTGTGTTTTCTGCTTTGCTCACTTTTGTTGCTCTTCTCTTGCACTGATTTGCTTCAGTCAGACGGCCAATGAGAGTGATATCTAACACCAACGGCCTCCACCGCCGATTACACACGGCCAGAAAAAGTTACAGACACTCACCGTCGAACTGGTGTGTCAGGGACTTAAGGGCAAAACCAACACAAAGCTCCCTGGTGTTCAAATGATTCATTCAAACCATTCAGTGACTCTGGAGTCAAACTACGCCGTGACCCAAACTGGACCGACCTTTGACATTTTTTAGGTTTTATAAATAAAAGAAAATACTCCTTAGAATAGAATAATTCTCTGGTTTTCTGCTGTCTGTATCATTTCGGTGGGAACTGGTTTGGACACAGCAGGTTTTATTTTAGCAGAATACTTCTCATATTCTAAAGAGCACATTAACATAAAGTTGAATATAAGAATCATTATGTTTTTGTTACAAAGAGACGTTTGTATCTACAGACGTCCACGTTTTTCACGTTTCACAGCCACCGTAGTTTCTCCTTCACGCTTTAGAGGGGAACGTGAAGCAATCTGCAATTACACTGCTCGATGTCACTAAACCCTAAAACACTGAACTTTTAATGTACAGCTCTCCATTCCTGCGCTGGATTTAAATGGCTTCTTTAAATGTATTACCTTATTGAAATCAGCCTCACGTTCATTCTCTCACAACAGACACCAGTATGAATGTTTATCAGTAACAAAGACTCCTGTTTAATCAGGCCTCATACTGGTGTCATTTCTGTTGACTGTCACCAAATCAACCAGGAGTGAATCTTAAGGATTACTGATAAACGAAAAATGTCTTCGAACACATCTTCAGGCAGCCTCGTCACTGTGGAACAGCGTGTCGAGCCGTGTACTGTAACTCTCATGCGTCCTGCTGTAAACACACGCCTGGATTTCCTACAGAACAGAATAAGATTATACATAATTTCTTTGTTTTGATATCGAGATGATATATCGGCCATCAGCAGTCTAACAACACTGTGGAGACGGCATTATTTAAGGGTTTTAATTCAATATTCAGCTGTGTATTGTAACCGTCTCATCTTTTTACGCTGTTCACATTTGTAATTTTGGGCTAAATAAAAAAAAAAATCTCATCTAGACACACATATAAATATATATCTCATGTTCATATTCATGTAACTGTACTTCAGTGGACTGTGAAACCTCTGCCCACACACAGAACAGTGGATGGTTATGAAAATACCAACACTGAGGTTATTTCTGAACGTTTGTTTTGTAGTGGGTAGAGGAACAAAGCGTTTTTTTTTTTTTTTATGTACGACACCTTGTCCAAGCTAAATGAAATCCAGCCAAACCTGACACCCACGTGGCCGCTGAGAGCACTTTTAAAAGCACAAAAGGAAGTCACATGGTGTACCCACAGATACCAGTATGAATGTTTATCAATAATCAGGCCCCATACTGGTGTCCCTTTTGTTTGACTCTCTTTAGTGTTTAACTGTTGGTGAATTGGAGGCAACTTGCTCACACTGCTAAGGTGTTGGTGTGACTGAAAAATGTTCCTATCTTCAATCTGATTCATGTGATGTGTGAGTGTTAAGGCTGTATAGTTATGGCAGGAATGATGTCTCCTGATTGTTGAGCAGTGAGAGTGTAAATGTGTCCGTATGTCTCCACGGTGCCTGCCAGCTGTAACAGACCGATGACCTGTCCTTGTCTCTGGCACAATGTATGCTGGGAAACGCTCCCACCCCCTGCAACCCTGAGCAAGGTAAGCAGTTTAGATAATTAATGGACATTTTTTTTTATCTCGCTGCAGCAAAAACATTACTGTATGGCACTTTGGCATCTTAACACACAGCATTTTATTCCACTTTATTTAAGTGCACCGTTTCTCAGAATTGCAGTAGTTGCTATCTTATCAAATTTAAATACTGAATAGCATTTTTTTTTGTGCAGTTTAAACCCGAAAGCATATTTTGCACAGAATCTGTACTTGTTGCAGAAAGGAAAGTATCTCCAGTGGCTGACTCATTTCCCTCCACTTCTTATTTTTGCTTGCCTGTATCTTTTCCCTCCCACCGGGGCGGCTTGTTTCTTTTATTTCTGTCACATGGGTGCACCGGGGAACATTCAAAAGTTGTGACTGGTCATGCATAAGTGAAGTTCACCATGTAACACACTTTGGGAGCAGACTTGGGAATATAACAAATAACGCTCCACACTTCTATGACTATTAAGCATTGAAAGCACTATACACAATCATATACAATGAACTGTATGGAACCTGCTGCGTGATCTGAGCTGAAATACTACATTTACGGTCCACAGAACACACGCAGCTAACTCAACAACCTATACGTTGTACAGTACTGACGCAGTTCGAGGGACATGTTGGTGAAAATCAGGGGATAAAGAACTGGAACAACTGAACTTGAACATTCCAAAGCCATGTCATTCTCTCACGGAACCCCGGTATCCAGGCAACCGCATTCTATTTCATCACACGCCTAATGAAACAGCCAATCAGAGGCCAGATTGGAATTACTGTCCATAACATGGCTCATTTGAATAACTGAAGCATGCGCATGGAAAAAAACTAACAAAAAAAAAAAAAAACAGCAGAAAGCATGCAACAGGGCAGTGTGACCCACCTGAGGCTTTTTGTTAGAAGAGCTAAAAAAAAAAATAAGTGTTTGTTGAGAAAGTGCTAAGGTATACACCGGGATAATATAATGTAATTTAAAACACCGGTTGAGGTGAGTGCTGTTGGCTATAAAGAGGTGTGGTGTGCGTTATTTGCAGGTACACTGGTTAAAGAAGAAGCTTACTGTGCCTGCGGGTTATGCGAAACGAAATCATGATAACAAATGCAAAACAATGCGCATCAACAGAGAGGAACAGCAGTCACGGGGTGAAACTAGGGAACCAGAACGTGAGGGAAATTAGGGATGCGTATTTGATTTTTTTCAGCCGATAAAATAACCAATAATTACCTGCTTCTCATGACCGATACCGATAAGATAACTGATAATTTCACGTTTCCGTATTTTAAAAAGAGTTTCATAACCTGTAGTTTATGCATGCGAGATGGTAAGATAGATGTTCTCACCAAATCTAACTGACAACAAAAACAAATGACAGCTTTGTTCAAACGTAGTATCAAAAAACTTCACAAACGTTTATAGAGCATAAAATCTGAAGTAATAAATTATTATTAATATGGACCAATAATCTGTTCAGCTGTAATTCTTACAAATATACATTTCCCATCATCAGCCACTAATGTATCTGCCCTGATAATTACTGTGCATCCTTAATGGAAATGCAGCATCAGTGAACTCCATTG